TAAAATATCGAAAAATATACAGCGCGCGAATTTTAAATGAGAATTTCCGAAAACTTTTCAGTCTTAATGTATATGCATGACAGTGAGAATTATAGGACACAGGCATGAGTTCCGTTAAGTTCCAGACATTGTGCAGACGATGTAGATTACAGTGAAATACATGATACACAGGTACTAATCCCTGAGATTTCACTCTTTTGAATGTGCTGGAATTTATATAATTGGTTGTAATAGTTCAGTGTTCTTTCCTAATAAAATAGACCTTAACATTTGTTAGAGTCTCTATAAAAGCAAGCTGTATGCTGATTGTTTCCAGCTCTTCAATCACACAGATGTGAAAAATGTCCATATGGCCTGATACCAAATCAGCTGTACTTATGTATCAATAATTAAACTCTATATATTACTTAATTTTTTATCGTATAATTTTAATAAACTAATTCATTAACTCTTATACGGCATTTACACTGATCACAGATGACTCATTATGGTCAAAAATCGAAAATGAGAAGCAAATGGCTCATTCTTGCACACAAAATTTCAAGCGCGAATGAGAACCATTGGATCACATTCTGTATGAATGCGTTCCAACGAGGGTCGAAAGCATTACAAATATGCAATTGCAAAGGAATACATTGAACATACCCTAAATAATAGTTTTTCATAGCATTTTGACAGTTTGAGAAAGCTGTTTTTGACATATTTACAAAAAAGGTAAACAAATGTTTGGTGGTTGCATTTCCTTGAAAACGATGCACCTCTTTTTGGAACTTCTACTTCTCAAAAACTACTTAATCGAAATTAAAACTGTTTTTAGTTTATATTGTAGGGTTTGAAGGTATATTTAACCTTCATGCAACATATTTTTGGCACAGGCCAATAATCAAATCAACAGGCAAGTTGAAAAATCAGCTGTTTGAAATGGGAACAAATGAATTACAACGAATGTAAACACTTAACACATTGTTAACGTCAAGAAAAAAATGAGTTGAAAAAAAATGTGAAAAAGAAGAAAGAAATGAGTTCCAATGGATCTCATTTGCGCTTGAGATTTTGTATGCAAAAATTAGTCATTTGCTTCTCATTTTCGATTTTTGACCAAAATGTGCCATTTAAAGTTAGTGTAAATGCCGTATAGTCTGTTTTGGGACTTAAACCACGACTGCGGAATTGGTCTACATATTCATAAAGTGATAACTCTGAAATCCGCTGTAAATATTTTGTAATAATTGCTATTGTGTTGCGATATAAAATTTTATTGTATGTTAAATTTTTCGGCGAAGTGTAAACATTATACTTTAATTTTGCACAATTTGCTCTCGATAATTGTCAAATTATAAGAACACCAAACACGCAAAAACTTATCGCTTTCAGTTAAGTATAATATTTAAGCCATCAACAGCTGTTTTGTTCTCAACCGAACTGTTCCTAGGCTGAGAAGAGTTCATTTCTCTGTTTTGTTTGTTTTTGTTTTGTCATTGTTTATAATATACAAAAAAATTAAAAAGTGCCTACAGATTTATTGCTTTGATTGACTTCTTATCTATTAATATAAAAATGTGAAATTAATGAATAATTTATGTTAATTTTTCTTGCTTCAAGTATTGCTTAATTACAGTGTTAAGAAAAAATTGCATTGCTATAATTAAAAGTAAAATTGCAGCAAAATCTAGTTTTTAATTCCAGTTCGGATAAAGAACTAATCGCACTATATTAAAGCGCAAAGTTCATATTAACTAAAAATAAAACGAAATGTTACTGAAAATACGACACGCATTACTTGAGATTAACAATTATCCAAATCCGAAATTATCCGCAATTATTATCAACAATGAAATTATCATAACGTCTGGCTGCATATTGAAGCATTTTGTGCGTCCACTTCCAACAACAGAAGTAAGTGACTCCAGCGAGGGTGCATGTCCAAGCACAAAAATAATACGTAAACTCGAGCGTTGTGAAATAATCAGTACACAGGATGGCAGTGATGAAGCGCAACATCTCAATGCGCTCAGCTATCAAGTGACATTTGATCGCCAGAAGCTACCAGCCACTGCACGTAATCAACAGCCACGCATATTGACACGGTACTGTGCTCGGCCATTGTACATGTTTAGTTCGAATGAAATTACCCGTCAGTTTCATAATTTTCTGCAAAATGCCGCCGTACAAGTAGACGGACACAACGATGTGCTCCTATCCAGTTTCTTGGTGCTGACTATGCGCACCACCAGAGAACAGGAAAAGTTTGAACGTTTTCTATATCATATTGGTCATTATTTGCGCTATTTGCATCCCATACGTCCTTTGGATGATGTCTTGGCTATGTGTACGCCTTTTGGCGAGGAAAACTTTTATAAGTCTATCAGTATTGGCAAAGTTTCAAATGTGATTGGACGCGATGGCAGTTTGTTTGTTGTTTCGAATGCGTTGCCTCAAGGCTGCGAGGGATCCGCTGTGTTTAATAATAAACTGTAATTTTAATTTATTATTATTAATTTATTTATATATAATATTTGTTATTTTTTTCAGACGCTTGATCGGTGTTATTATATGTACCACATTTATGCGCAATGATGGAAATGTTAACTTCACCATAGCAGCCAGTTTCGCATATTTATTACGGGACTTTATGAAGCAACTTGGTGTTAAAATAACATCCATCACAGTGCCCAGAGAGCCAAGCAATTTCTCATGTAAATATTTTTAAATTTAGAAGTTCTTATCGATTAGTAGTGGAAAATTTTTTATGATTATTTTTAATTAATTAATGATTTAATTTTAATTAAATAGTAGTTTATATATTTAGAATATAGTTCTTTCGCTAAAAGGGATGCAATCCCTTTATACTTAAAATTTTTAATATAAATACAGTTCCTCTTCGATATTTGGTGCGCTCTGGCATCCCACCAGTACACCAAATATACGACCGTAGGAAATATAACTTACAGGTTTAAAGTTCCATTAAGTTACAGACATAGTGTGGATAATGTACATAACTGCGGGAGTCAACATACACAAACGCTAGTTCTTACGGTTTCAGTTTTCTGAACGGAAAAGAACTCTGACGTAAATGTTCTATGTACCACCGTTATCGAATTGGCCACAAGATGATTGGAACCATATAGTACTAGAACATTACAGTACTGACTAGAACATTATGAGGTAATGCTTGTGTGTTACATTCTTGACTCCTACGAGAACTGGAACTTAATGAAACTCGTATTTATATGTCATGTACTTGGTTCTCATAATGACTGGAACTTTATGAAACTCACACTTGTATGTTATCTCTAACATTGTTAGTTACTTGGTCCTCTACATGGTAGGCACCTTGACGTGGTGTAGGGGCTTAGCTACAACTGAGTCTATAAATATGAATATTCGCAATCACCTGGCATTTGTCAGCTGACTGTAAATTTTTATCGTTTCTAGAACGAGATGTATAACCAAGATCTACCTGTAGGTAGTTTTGTGTTATTTTATGTAGTAATAGTAGTAATAATTGCATGTGTAATAGTAGTAGTAACTTTTTGTAGGCTGACTGATGTGGTCCGAATGGCTACTATAACATCTTAGCGTCTCGGGGAGCAGATGAGTCTTTGCATTTTGGTGGTACTCATTAAGTTCGTCAGTCAATCGATCGGCCTTTAATGGAAGTGTAGTTGTTTGTAGGATCGATGACCCCAAAGCAGTTAGGTCATGTCTCTGCTGGTTTTGAGGTCGCCAGCAACTAGGCGGGGTGAAGGAAAACACCCTGGGTTTGATTGAAGTTATGAAAAATCTGTAGTTTTTGTCCCTAGTCTAAAATTTTTATAGAAGCATGTATGGTGTAGTATGTGTGAATGTATGAATGAGACCCGAACAATCCCCCAATCTACGGTGGAACAGCTATGCCTGTAGGAACTTGGTCGCGGGGCTAGTGACGACCTTAATAGCGAACTGCGGATACCAGGCAACCTCCGCTTTCAATTTGCCTTCTGTCGGTAAATGGGCTCTGCCGATGGCGACTTTATACTTCCCTAATACTCGTGGGATATCTTATGGATACATTTAAAAAACAAACTAAAGGGGATGATGCTACCCTTATCGCATCAAACACTACTGCTGTCGGGCAGGAAATAAACAACGACCAGTCGACTGTTGTGTCACAGGTCAGTGAACCTTTTATAGATGGTGCTGTAGGGCACATCTACAAAAATATACACGCTGTGGAAAATGTTGTTTTTCCAGAGTATAATGATGCTAGCAGCACAGAAGCTGAAGGGTCTGATGCTGCCTCTATTGACATTGATGGAGTCAGTCTCTGTTCTGAACAGTCATGTGCTACTGTTGTCAATGTTAGTATGAAAGGGACCAGTTCACATGACCAGAAGGGTTTTGTAAAACTGAGCTCAATGCAGAAGAGGAGGTTAAAGGCTTACATGAGCCAGGGACACTCCAGGAATGTGGCCCTAGACATGGTGTCTAAACTTCCAACTCGTGCGCCAACTAAAAGGACTTTATCTGACGACATGGTCATGCCAGCTGGTAAGAAACCAAAGCAGAACACCTCGATTCAGGGATCGAGTAAACCCTCTTTTAGCCAAGTAGCAAGTCAGGCCAAGGGGATCAAATTAGGATTTGTTCCTTTTGATTTGGCTAAGTGCCCCTTAAACAGGGAACAGATTGAACAGCTACAGGAGGCCATAATTGAGACTGCCATAGAGTTGGCATCAGATGAGGTTAAACCAGAATTTGAAGGTTGTTACCCTCGCACGGGATGGCTCATGGTGGTGTGCACAAATATCCAAACGGCTGAATGGGTCCGTAAAAATGCGGCAGCTATTGCAACAAAGGCTAAACTGGGCGCCAAAGTGGTTGAAGAGTCGGAGTTCCCAAAAACACACCTGGTGCGAGGATATTTTCCGCACAGTTACGATTTTGAAAACACCAAGGTCCTTGCCACAATTGAGGCCCAGAACAGGATAAAAGCAAGCACCTGGAAAGTGTTACAGCGGACTGCAGAAGGTTCTCTGCTCCACATCGTCTTTGCTGTCGACGATGCATCCTGGAACTCACTGGTCCAGAGTGGAGGTAGAATAGCATATCGCTTCAGCCATGTCAAGCTACTGCTTAAAGCTAACAATATGACAAAGGAGGGGCAGCCAGAACAACGGCCTGTGGAACAAAAGGTTCCAAACAAACTCCATTTCACAAGGACGGAGAGACAGAAAGTGGAGCACGTGGTCCCACAATCAATACTTACGTCTACTGTGACTCCCAGTGAGGCCCCAACGACTAGTAGAGCCGGCATTCAAAAGAGGCTTTCGATGCAGCCACCTGTGGGTGGAGCATCAACAACTCCAAATGAGCGCCATAGAGAAAGAGGGCCACGAAGAGCTCGATTTCAGAAGGAAGTCGAACGCTCTCTTAATAAAACCCAACCCAACTAAAATGAGCACCATAGGGGTGTTACAGGCGAACCTGCACCACGCGAAAGGAGCATCGGCTACTTTGTGCAGGACCATCGCCACAAAAGGACTGGCCATAGCACTTATCCAGGAGCCATGGACAGTCGGTGGGCATATAAAAGGCCTTCAGCATCAATCAAGTAAGTTGATATATAAACGTGACCTAGAGTCGCCTAGAACTGCTATACTAGTAAACAAAAATGTTAACTGTATTCCAATTGCAGATTTCATCCAGAGGGACTTGGTGACGGCCATTTTTGAGGTCCCGACGGAGTGCGGAACACGAGAGATCGTGATAGCATCGGCCTACTTTTCAGGCGATGCAGATGAAGCACCACCTCAAGCAGTCACGAATTTGGTAAGTTATTGCAAATCTAACAATGTACAATTCATAATTAATTGCGACGATAATGCGCACCATACCTTATGGGGTAGTACTAACATAAATAGAAGAGGGCAAATGCTTTTAGAATACTTCAGTAGTAATAACATCAGCATATTGAATAATGGTTCTGAACCCACTTTTATTAATGCCATTAGAAGAGAGGTTATTGACCTTACTCTTTCTAGTCAATTTATATCCAATTATGTTGTTAATTGGAGGATCTCAAAGGAGGTTTCTTTATCTGACCACCGGCATTTTCTTTTTGAACTGCCGGGCCAGTTTTTACATAAAAATAAGCGTGGTGCGAAGGACAGGGTCTCTCCATAAATCCGAAAAAAAACTGTTGTTGTGCTTTTTACACTCAAACGTAACGTTTAGGAAACACTAATATTCCTCTCTCCAGTGAAACAAAGTACCTAGGTGTTGTCCTAGATGGTAAACTCATTTGAAGTTCACAATTAAATAAAGTATAAAACAAAGCATTAAGGGCTTTATGGACAACACGGTCCTGTATAGGTAAAATTTGGAGCCTCAACCCAAAGATTATATTTTGGATATATCAGGCAGTAGTACGTCCTATCATGACATATGGTTGCCTGGTTTGGTGGCAAAAGGTCACACAGGCTGGATCTATTGCTGTTTGTACGAAGCTCCAGAGATTAGCGTGTCTCTTTATGACTGGTACTATGAGGACAAGTCCAACTGCAGCACTTGAGGCTATATTTGGATTGACACCTCTGCACATACACATTCAATCTACAGCTGCGCTTAGTGCGCTTCGACTAAAACTCCACATGAACAAGGGTTGTCTTGCCTATGGTCATACAACAATATTAAAAACATTTGGAGCACATAAAATTCCTTAATGCGATGGAAACTATACAACAGAACTCCATAGTTTTGGCAAAAAATTTGAGGTACACCTACCATCACGTTCAACGTGGGAGAACGAAGCCCCACAGGTTGACCCAAATAGTTTGGTTTGGTACACAGATGGATCAAAGATGGATGAAGGCACTGGCGCTGGTGTATATGGACCCAACACCAGCATTTCGGAGGCAATGGGTACATGGCCGAGTGTCTTCCAAGCTGAAATCCACGCAATCAACTTATGCTTAAGATCCAATTTAATCAAAAAATCTTCTGGCTCGAAAATTGTTATTTACTCTGACAGCCAGGCTGCTCTTAAAGCTCTTTCTTCTTGGACTTTCAAATCAAAACAGGTCCTAGAGTGTTACGAGCTTCTGCAATCACTTGCAGCTCGGAATAAGGTAAGCCTTTACTGGGTTCCGGGCCACAGGAGAGTTTTGGGAGTTTTGCATCAAAAACTGCCAAAACTCTCCTATTCCTATTCCTGAACCCTTTTGTGGAATAAACTGGGCCACTACAAAACAGATTATCAAGGAAAATCATATGAAAAATCATATGCGGCTGGAGTACTGGGTAAACTTTTCAGGACTCAGACAAAGTAAAGCACTGATAACACCGTACTCCTACAAAGACATTCTTATATTCTCAAAATGTAATTTAAGGTTGATAACGGGTTTCATAACAGGTCATTATGGTCTGAAATATCACCTTCATAAACTACAATTATCTGCTAACTCCGAATGCAGATTATGCCTCGAAGATGAGGAAAGGACCATGCACATTCTTTGTGACTGTCCAGCTTTAATAACGCACAGAAGAAACCTGTTTCATAAAGAATTTCTGTCACCAGAGCAGATTAAGAACTCTTCTCTAGATTTAGTTCTAGACTTCATTCACAAAGCTTTAAGGGGCTTTGTTTAATCAATAGTGGTACAATAGGACTCTTCTGGCCGCAGTACCGGCTGTTGGGCAAGTTTCACGTCTACTCTTTAATAATAATAATAATAATACTTGGTCCTCAAGATGACTGGAACTTTATGGAATTCATGGTTATATGTTATGATTAAAAACTCGTGCATGTGTGTTATGCCTATCATAATTATCACTTGGTTAGCAAGATTGCAGGAATTTTATGGTACTTCTGTTTGCGTGTTATATTCAACAATGTAATGTAGTTGATTAGATATTGACTGAAATTTTTTAAAACTTGTGTTTGTGTATAGCCTCGGTGCTTCATAATAAAATATATGAAACTTAGCTTTCCCTAAAGTAATGGGACTCTCTAGTTGGTAATTTTATGTAGCATTTTAACGTCTATATACAGAAATAAAACTTGTTAGTTTATTTTACAACATATTGTCAAAGTATTATTAATAAAATTATGTACATAATTAACGTAATTAAATATTTCTTTTAGGGGAACGTGCAATGGTTGCTATTGTGGCTGATGGAAATCAAGGGACTGGCACTTTTGTTCGAGTTCAGCAGAAGAAATTTATTTTGACCTGCTCACATGTTCTTTACCAGGTATAATTTTATTTTATTATATATTTTATTTAGTTTCTAATTTATTGTTGCTTATAATATTAATAAAATAAATAAATTTTAAACCCGAAAAGAGAGATCGCTGGCTAATAAACATAACATGTCTTTATGATGTGTTTGCAATTTGCTCATTTCTTTTTCATAGTCTTAAAGGACACCTAAAGCTATCACTTATTTTCAAAACAAATGTTAATATTTAATAATTTTTTCTTCAATATTCTAAACTTCTGCCAAAGTTTATAATAAACTAATCCCTACATTATCAATGGTCTATATATGTACGTAACGTCTAACAGCTATCGAAACTGTTACCTATAATATAATGATGATTTATTATCTATAAGCTGTATTTATTATATTTTTTTTTTAGAATAGCGAAAAGGTACATTGTCGCAGTATAGATGGAGTATTTGAATCAGATGTTCTATGGCATAATCCACATAGTAATCAAGCCTTCGACGTAGCCTTACTTTCTGCGCCCAGTAACATACCAAATCGGTACTTTGTGCGTTTGTCTAGCAGAAAACCATCGTTGGGTCTACAAATCTATAATGCTGGATTTCCGTATTTTGCTAATGTAAATTTTGATTCCGACTTTAATCCTTCGATATTTCAAGGACGCATAATAAAATGTTCTACCGGTGCTATAGTAACCGATGGTTGTGTGCAGGCAGGCCAGAGTGGTGGTCCGGTTTTTGATGAAAATGGTTGTGTACTTGGCATTTGCATAGCAAATACTAAAATTGATAATGTCATATATCCAAATATCAACACAGCTGTACCAATTTGTGATATACGCTTAATACTGGAAAATTTTGCAAAAACTAATGGTAATTTAATTATAATAAATAATATTTTAATTATTAACTGTATCATGTTTTTTTTAACATTCCAGATATTACGGTTCTCAACAATTTAGTTGCAAATGACGAAATACAGCGTGTGTGGTCTTTACAAACACCACCAATTTTAAGTAAATTATAAAATGATATATACATTTTGATATATTCTTATATATAGTATTAAAACATTCCTTACACAAAGCCACAAATCGTTGGTTTTTACATATATCATATGACAATTAATATAAAGGAAATTTATTAATTAATCAAGAACTGTTTAACATTATTATTTGGTGAGATTTGTTTATTGTTTTTTTTTTTATATTTGTTATTTTACGTTATGTATTTTAAATTATTTTTTTTATACCGACAATATATTTTTAAATAAAATATAATAAAATATGGATTTTATGCATCAAAATTATTTAAAAATATTTATAAAAATTTTTATTGTTGCTTCTCTCCAATAAAAAAATTATAAATTTTATCTCTCATCGGTTTGCAGAGTAGGTATATATTTTAACCATTCGTATTTCATTTCTATATTATCACATATTACATTGTTATAAGAATAGGATGCTTCATAAGCGTCCACTGAATTTTAAATTATAGGAGAGATTGACTCCAATTTTATTTAGGTTGAAGTAAACTACTTCAACGTTATAAACGTTTGTAGAAAATTAGGATGCAAACGCGTGAACCTCCAAGTAAAGTTTAATAAGGATCTATAATGTGTTCCAGAGATGCTTTGCATGCACAAAGCATTTCTGATGCTACTCAAAATGCTTGCACAACGTAAGAAAATTATTTTGAACTTAAATCAAAAATTTTCAATTGAAATAATTATAGATTACATTTTATCTTAAAAATAATTATATTAACCTTATTAATTATGACTTGGCAATATAAAAGTTTTAGTTATAATAAAAAAGCTAAGAATTTATCAGAAAATGATAGTTCATTACGGCTTGGCTTTCTTTTGAATTGTTTTCTCAACCGCCAATTTAGATGGCAGCAGATATGTTGGGTATGCGCGATCAACCTGTTGCGTTGTTTCCATAATACGCAAAAAATTATTCATTATTTTTGCTCTCTCCAGTCTATCACGTTCCAAAATACTTTCTGTTTCTCTACGGTTATCTTCTAAAAGTTTATTTAAACCTTGCAAGTACTTTTCATTTTGTTCCGTGAATTGTTCCAACAACATTTTCATCATGCTCTGCATTTCTTCAGTAATAGATTCTAACTCGTTTTGTGTTCCGCGATTATCTATAAAAAATATAAATATATTATATATATATATAAATAACAATAGTTATCGTGTTAATGCCTAGTATCTACGTACCAGTAGTTTCAATTCTGTTAGACATTCCTTTGGATTTTTTAAAATTGTTGCCAACATTTACGCGGCATTTTGGTAAATTATTTGAGATTCTGTCATCTGTTATGAGCTCTGTTGGTGACTGCAAAAGTCTTCTATATCCATTTAATGTATCCTCTATAACAACTTCTTCTTTCATCACTAATGATGGTGTCATTTTGTATAGTACACTATCTTCAGATAGTGATTCCGAGTTGTTTATATCAACAGTTGCGTCGGCAATTGCACTATTGTTTACCTGTGTGTTGCCTAGAATTTCATCCAAAGTTTCGAAGTAGTTCATTGATTCTCCATTATTTCCATCACGTTTTATTCTGGTATACTGGAACTTTAATGATTTAAATTTACTTATTACTTGTTCTTTAGTTTTATTATAGCCTTTTTTTCTAAATTCTTTGGTGAGATCCATAAAAACTGCATTGCTTTTTTTCTTTTTCTTAGTTAATAATTCAACCACATTTTGCTCCTTTACAATGGCAAGCAAAGCTCTTACTTCCCTTTCTCTCCATGGATTTCGCATTTTTTCTTTCATTATTTGCACATTAAAATATAACAACTTTTATTATTTTAAATGCAAATACGCTAAACAACAAATTTAGAATAAACGCCTTTGTATTTTGTATGCAGCGAAATGCACTGAAATAGCCAGTGTTGCCACATTTGAAAATTTTATCAAAACAAAATTTTGCAATGTTTTTTTTGCTAGCTGTCAAATTTGCAGCGAAATCAATATGTGGTAAAAATCAGTCATAATTTTACAAATATGCTTTTAAATTCATATATAAATTATTTATTATATTTATAAATATACTTTTATATTAAATATAATTTATATACAAGACTTAGTTATGTTATATCGTTATATGACAGTGATAGAGTTGTGACTTATGACAGCAAAATTGGTTGAGTTCTGCACTAAATTATTTCCAACAACCCTGTTTTACATTCCTGCAGTCTTCAAATCTATGTTAATTCTTATTGTTTGTTATCAGTTATTTTAATTTTTGTTTAGCGAATGCGATATGAAAATTATGAATGAATTAAAAACGGGTTATAAGTGATTTATATGAAATTATTTGAACATAATAAAACAGCACTAATAAAGCAATTATTAATTTATTGTTTAAATAATTATTCGGAAGACTTAAAATTCCAAAAAAAAAACGGTCAAGTGGTCTGATTGTCTCCATTGAGTCCACGGCTTGACCAATCGAAAATAAAACAAATCCGTTATTTAAAATAATTGCCAATTATCACTAACTTTTACTATATAGTAAATATAATCATATGCGCTTCAAATATATATATTCAAAAGCAGTGTTTATCTTATTAAATTCTTTTGAATAAAAAAAATCGTTGCAGTAATATAATACTTACATATATTAATAGAACAGTTAATACTTCTGTTGATGTAAAAAGTGTAAAAGAAAAAATTACATAAAAAACTTAAAACGTGTAAGTATTAAATAACCAAATGTCCTTAGAAATGAGGACTGTTTCCAAGAACGGTCGGGTCTACGGCCCGAAGCCACTCGTTACCTCCGAAAGGGACTTTACAAGCAGGTCCCGGCAGGTTACAACAATAACAGGAAGAAGGACTCAAGTTTTCCGTGTTGAGTATGAGGCACTTTCAGTCTTAAAGTGTTTGTGCGCAAACCGTAATGAACTGGACTAGGCATTTAAAAGTTATAATTTTTATATACAAAATAATCATTTGGAAAAACTTAAGCTTAAAACTAAAAATCAAGTGAAAGAAAATCTATACATATAGGCACATAATAACATAGGAAAAATCCGGATTGTTTGGAATAGTTGGTGGAATATAAGAGAATATAGAGCTTGCTAACATGAAAGGTAAGAATTTTGTGTGGGACCAAGAAAGTTTATTCAAGGTCTTATTTAAGATTGCATGATTTGCTATATAACTATAGAATAATTGTACCAACAGGGCTAAGCCTCTGTTACAACGAACATTGAAAATTAGAAAAAATTGACACCTCGATGAAGGATATTTGGAGATATATAAAATAGCCATATGTACAGTCTAAGAATATACTTTATTAAAAATTAAACAAATTTTTGAATTTGTACGTTGGCATAGGCCAAAAATAATTTTTAATTATATTATTTAACGTATAATATATATCTACTTCTATTTCACAGAAATCCCAACAATTCTTAATATATTTTTCTTTTTTTTTTATTTATAAAAGCTGAAAGTTATTTTGTTAATTAAAATAGTTTAATTTCGAAAATCCAAAACAAGTTTCATGAATATTATTTATTATATATTAAACTAACGTGTACACTGCTTACAATCTAACGATAATATATGAATAAAATTGTCAGGTATATATATAAATATATGTAAATTGTATTGACCAATAAGCTATGATGTGGGTTTAGTTTTTTTGATCCAAGCAATGATTTACGTGAGCATGTAAAATGGTTAGAGTTTCAAAACCTTTAAAACAAATTGGACAGCTATAGTTGTTTTTAGATGTTGCTATTGTAGGAGGTTCCAATACCTTAAAAAAAATAAAATAAAATAAGAAGTATTAAAATAAGAGTGATATTAATTGGAGTTCCAGAACTTATTTTGGCTCAAAAAGTTATTACAAACTAGCAAGCAGTTTTAAATATTTGAAATTATTTTACAGTTCTGGAACTTCTTTTTTAATTAATAGAAGCAATCATACTCTAACAGGTCTATTTGTATCAACCATAGACTTTGATGTTAATTGTGCTCTATATTTTGTAGCTGAACTGACCT